CTTTGTGAATATTTTTCCTCGTAAAGACAAGGAAGAAATAATTCCGAGAAAAAGGACACTTGAAGAGGCCAAGCTACCTCAAGAAATTGAGGATGAGCCAAGGCATAGCAGGAGAACAAAAGTACCTAAGTCTTTTGGTCCTGAATTTCTAACTTATGTGTTAGAAAACGAACCGAGAACCATTCGAGAGGCTTTGACAAGTCCAGATGCTCCTTTTTGGAAAGAAGCTATCAATAGTGAGATTGAATCCATTATGCACAATAATACTTGGGAGTTGGTTGATCTCCCACCGGGTAGCAAACCTTTGGGATGTAAATGGATCCTTAAAAGGAAGTATAAAGCTGATGGAACTATTGATAAATATAAGACCCGATTGGTTGTAAAAGGGTTTAAGCAAACAGAGGGATATGATTTCTTTGATACGTATTCTCCTGTAACTCGAATCACGTCTATACGTGTTCTCATTGCAATTGTTGCAATGCATGACCTTGAGATTCATCAAATGGATGTGAAAACGGCCTTCTTAAATGGAGACCTCGAGGAGGAAATTTATATGGAACAACCCGAGGGGTTCGTTGCACCTAGAAAAGAGAAAAAAGTGTGTCACTTGGTTAAGTCGCTTTATGGGCTAAAACAAGCACCTAAGCAATGGCACGAAAAGTTTGACAAAGTGATGTTGTCGAACGGATTTAAAATCAACGAGTGTGACAAATGTGTCTATATTAAAGGTAGCGTCGATTCATTCGTGATCGTATGCCTGTATATTGATGACATGTTAATCTTGGGAAAAAATAATGGTTTAATTCTTAGTACCAAGAAAATGTTGAAAATTAATTTCGACATAAAGGATATGGGAAAAGCCAGTGTAATCTTAGGAATTAATATCTCTGAAAGTTTGGAAGGAATTGTTTTGTCACAATCCCATTATGTCGAAAACATCTTGAAGAGGTTAAATGCATTCGATAAGCCTCCAGCTAAGACGCCTGTTGATTTAACTCAACACTTAGCTAAAAATCGAGGTGAACCAGTGTCTCAACTAGAATTGTACTCGCCCCGATATAGCATATTCTGTGAGTAAACTAAGTAGGTTCAAGAGTAACCCGAGCAATGACCATTGGAATGCACTTATTCGGGTACTTAGGTATTTGAAACATACCTTGAGTTATGGAATAATATATACGAGGTATCCAGCGGTACTTGAAGGGTATTGTGATGCGAATTGGATATCCGACACAAAAGACTCAAAGTCCACTAGTGGTTTTGTGTTCACTATAGGTGGAGGAGCGGTGTCATGGAAATCTTCTAAGCAAACGTGTATTGCTAGATCCACGATGGAGTCCGAGTTTATATCCTTGGACAAAGCCGGGGAAGAAGTTGAATGGCTTAGGAATTTCCTTGAAGATATTCAATGCTGGATAAAACCGGTGCCCGTTGTAATGATACATTGTGATAATCAATCGGCAATTGAAAGGGCACAAAGTAGCTTGTACAATGGTAAGTCTCGACATATACGTCGAAGGCATAATACAATAAGACAAATGATCTCGAGTGGGGTTATTTCGGTTGACTACGTGAAGTCAAAGGAAAACCTAGAGGATCCGCTTACTAAAGGCATTAATCGAGATCAAATGTACAAGTTGGTTAGGGGAATGGGATTAAAATCCACAACATAAGAACAGTCTTAGCGGTAACCCAACCTTGAGAATCGGAGATCCCGAAACCTTGGTTCAATGGGAAAACTAAGTTTTGACAGTTCAGTAAAACACTTGAAAGTTTCACCCATTCCCAAGAACCGTCAAGTGTTAAAATCTGCCTAAGTGGTGAGGTTAAGTCAAGGACTTTTAATGATTTCTATACCTACGGGTGGAGTAAGGCAGAATACTCTTTATAGGAGAATCACCTTTGTAAGTGAGAAGTAAATTGGCCGCTTCAACGAACACTTACTAAACCGAGATATGGTCCAAGGCTGAAATGGACACAACGTGAAACAAGAAATTGTTAGAGCTGTTATTGTGTGAGTATTACTGTCTTGGTGCACGCAAACAGCCGGTATGTTCAAAGCATCGTGCTACTAACCGACTATTGTATCCGATAGTATTTCACTAAGGAAGATTCAAAGCCACAAGCTATCTATCATGATGTAATGATGGTTCGCTGGAACTCTCAAGTATTGCATACATGCATTAATTTCATTCATGTGGGGGATTGTAAGAAAAAAATGGTTTTGTACCAATTTAACGATTCTATTTTTCGTAAGTAGAATACTTAGAAAAGTCTCAAAACCTTTTTAAGGTGAATGAGAAATTAATTCTAAGTGTTGTATTTTAATTACTTGAGTTCAAACAACTCAAAAGGTTGTAGGGTTCACAAACATTATATTTTAATAAATGTTTGGATAAACTAAACGATCTATAAATATGCATTATATATGCTAGAATTGTAGAGGGGCTCGTTGGGGACAAGTAGGAAAAAACGGAACTCGATTCCGAGTCCGTATGAGCTCGTACGAGCCCGCGGCGCACGGGCGCGCAACTGGCTGCGGAAATCGAAGGGTTGCAACCCTTGGTGACCATAAGGTATCTTTTGGCCACTGGATACATCCGTTCTCGTTCGGGCACGTCCCAAAAGGTGTCTTTTGACACTTAAACCTCTTGGAGGTGTCTCCTTACATCTATAAATACCCACTAACATGAAATCATTTAAAAACATCAAATTATTCCACAACCTTTGCATCTTTTTTACAAAGTTCATATTCATCTTGTGTTCTTTGTGTTCTTTCCTATCTTGAGAGTTCCGAAACTTAAGTATTGTTCGCCGAAGGTTTGTGTATTTGAGTTACCACTATACATAAATCAAAAGTCGTTGTATCTTGGAGGCGTTAGCCGTGAACCGTGGGTAATATACGGGGCTATTTCGTCTTAAGGAGAGCGTATCTTACGTGCCTCGACTTTGTTCGTTTTACCAAAATTCCTTCTATTTTTTAAAGCCATTTTCTTGAAATTCACATACAAAACAACAATTGTAAACTACACATCCCAGATAAAGTGCCACTGATTACTGCCACACAATGGAGGAGAAAGAATGGTAACGGATGTACAATTTTTTATTGATGTTTGGTCAGACCAGGAAAGATAGTAGACAAGACCAATTACTTTTTCTGTTGTATAATACTACGATAAAGAAGTTGAGTAAATGTTTAAAAAAAAAATGCTTAAATTAGATAAATCAGATCTTAGATTTTGACCTGTATATAATTTATGCTTAAGGTGCTATGTCCACAAAATTGTGTTGGCATAGTCTTGATTTTCTATCTCTCTAATTTATGTCGCGACCTTTTCTTTTTCTATCGGTTTCTCGATCGATAACATAAATTGTTCTAAAAATCAGATTACACGTGTAAACTTCTATTATATTAATAGTGATTATGTTAGGTTTGATTTTTCTGATTATTTTGTAGACAGAAATAGATCTAAGAATTCATCTGATCAGAAGGCTTACAATATGACTAGGTTTGTTTCAAAATTTGTAGTTTACTATCAGTTTGCTATTCTGATTAAAAAGTTAGTAAATTTTAGTTGTTTATATATTTTTTTCTTCAAATAGGAAATTACCATGCTAACCATGTTATATTAGCTATAGAAGGATAAAGTTGTTTGTTTATTCAATTGTTGATTATACCGTATGGTCGAGTTGACCTTTGAATTTCTTTAACAAACATGTTTTTTCTTTGCATATTAAGTCGTTCATAATGGTTAACGACTGTGTTTATTGAGAGAATGATTGAATAATACCCAGCCAGGTATGTCATTAGATTGTATTCCGAATTCATCGAGTCTTAATAACTATTCTTGAAAATATAACGGTATAACTATGAGTGCCATTTGTTTTTCCAGTAATTAGGTTGAACCTCAATATCTATCTGTAATTAACTTTTTTATAGTGCATTGTATATCCATTTGGATGATGTTATGATTGGTACGAAATGATTGGCAGTATCTTTTGGATGCCTAAATGATCATGTTGCTATCAGATAAAATTTAGTATCTCACAATTTGTTTGTCAACTTTTATGTTAATAATGCCTTGTGAATGTAGTTAGTTATATCCTGATTCAAATGTGATGTTTGCAGGAAAAAACCAAAAACGGATGAAGTAGGAAATCCATCAAAAGAAGTCGGTTTGCGTTGCGAAGAATAGGAAATGCCCGGTCCTCCATTTCAAGTGCGTGTAAGTGTTGGGCTCAGATGCGCAAATGCGGAAGATGTAAATTAAAATATTAAAGTAAAATGGTGAATATTAATCCCAATCCCAGCAACTCAAGAATGACAAAAGAAATCTCTTGCAATAAAACTGGAATAATTCTTTTCTGATGTGGAAGTTCAGATTAAACTGCGACCACAGAGCATACTAAGAATATCCCAAATAAATAAAATATGCAAGAAATAAGACACCAAGATTTAACGTGGAAAACCTCCAAATTAGAGGAAAAAACCACGAGACAACCTCCGAACAATTCCACTATATTTTCAAGATAATTACAATATCTTTTCACACTCCCTTACACTAGAAATGTAAAATATAGTGACCCAGTGAGAACCCCACTCTTAAACAAAGAGTAGTAGAGTTGATACCCAACCCGGTGTATTTTTCCCACACTCACAGGATTTACTCAAACACTCTATTTTTATCTCACTGAAAAATAACACACTGAAATATTATTTCTGCTCTCACTCTTTTTTCCTTCTTCTGCTTGGTGCACCTTGCTTTGAATACCTCCCTATTTATAGGGATAAAATGCATGTGAACCAAGAGAAAAAAAAATTCATTCAGCTCTTTCCTCTTTCTTTCCTCTCAATAATTGTTACCTGCTACCAATTTTTTATTTTTTTTATTTTTTATTTTTATTGTGGTTTTGTTTGTTTGTGGTTGGACACCACATGACAATTTGGCTGGATATGACAATTCTCCCCCTCCAGCCAAAGGGAAATATTCTGCAAATCTTCACATGCATTCTATGCCGATCAACTCGGCACAAAGCTGAAGCTTTCCTCCTGTTACAACTTTCGTCATCATGTCAGCAGGGTTTTCATCAGTGTGAATCTTTTCCAACTTGAACTGTTGTTCTTCCACAACTTGACGTAGCCAATGATATCTGACATCAATGTGCTTCGTGCGAGAGTGGTACATCGCATTCTTACTCAAATCCAATGCGCTCTGACTATCACAATGGATATCGTACCTTTCCTGCTTCATTCCCAATTGTTGAAGAAACCTCTTCAACCAAAGCATTTCTTTTCCTGCTTCTGTCATTGCAATATACTCTGCTTAAGTAGTCGACAAGGCAACAGATTTCTGCAATTTAGATTGCCAAGATACAGCTCCCCCTGCAAATGTAAACACAAACCCTGAAGTAGATTTTCTACTATCCAGGTCACCTGCCATATCCGCATCTGTATAACCTTCAAGAATTGGGTTTTCTTTTCCGAAGCTCAAGGACTTATTTGCACTGCTTTTTAAGTACCTCAAGATCCACTTCACAACTTCCCAATGATCCTTCCCAGGATTTGAAAGATACCTGCTAACAACTCCAACCGCGTGAGCGATATCCGGTCTAGTACAAACCATGGCATACATCAAACTCCCGACTGCCGAGGAGTATGGAACACCAGCCATAGCTTCTTTTTCTTCTTGACTCTTAGGACAACTTTGTTTGCTGAGCTTGAAGTGATTGGCTAACGGTGTATTGACCGGCTTAGCCGATTTCATGTTGAATCTCTCCAGAATTCAATTCACATACCGTTCTTGCGATAACCATAACTTCTTGGATTTTCGGTTTCGCATGATCTGCATGCCCAAAATTTGTTTTGCAGGGCCCAGATCCTTCATTTCAAAGGACTTTGCTAAATCCTTCTTCAGATCACCAATCAACTTCATATCATGTCCCACTATCAACATATCATCTACATATAACAAAAGGATAATGAATCTATCACCTGGAAATTTCTTAACAAACACACAATGATCTGCATCAGTCTTGGTATATCCATGACTCACCATGAACGAGTCAAACTTCTTATACCACTGTCTAGGAGCTTGTTTCAGTCCATACAAACTCTTCTTCAATCTGCAAACCATGTGCTCCTTTCCAGTCTTCTCAAATCCTTCTGGTTGCTCCATGTAGATTTCTTCATCTAGGTCTCCATGAAGAAATGCAGTCTTCACATCTAGTTGTTCAAGCTCCAGATCCAAGCTAGCCACCAATCCGAGTACTACTCGAATAGAGCTCATCTTTACAACCGGAGAGAATATCTCATCAAAATCTATTCCTCGCTTTTGTCCAAATCCTTTTACGACTAAGCGAGCCTTGTACTTCAATAGCTTGTTACCATCTTTCTTAAGCTTGAACACCCATTTATTCTTCAAGGCTTTTCTGCCTTCCGGAAGCTTCACAAGCTCATAAGTTTCATTTTTCACCAGTGAATCCATTTCTTCTTGCATAGCTTTCATCCACTGGGATTTATCCTTATGAGTCTGTACTTCTTCAAAGCTTTCTGGCTCCTCTTCTTCAGTGATGGTAATATACGTGGAACTAGGGTATCTCGTAGAAGGTTGGATCACTCGACTTGATCTCCTGAGCTGAGGTGGAGCTTCGAGGTCTTCCTGCTCAACACCTTCACCATCACCATCTTCTATTGTTGGCTCATCATCAACCCTGAGTTCTCCATCACACTCTCCCCCTGCTGTGGCATCTCCAGGAGGTTTGACAGGTGAAAGATCCACCTTTCCACTTGGTTCTCTGATTTCTGGTGAAGCAGAATCAGACATAGTTTCTTGCTCATGGAACACTACATCTCTGCTTCTGATAATTTTTCGATTTTCTGGATCCCATAACCTGTAGCCAAATTCCTCATCTCCATAGCCCAGAAATATACAAGGAATGGCTTTATCGTCAAGTTTTCGTCTATGTTCCTTGCTTACGTGAGCAAAAGCTTTGCATCCAAACACCTTCAAATGAGAGTATTTAACATCATGTCTGGACCATACTCTCTCGGGGATATCAAAGCCCAAAGGAACAGATGGAGATCGGTTGATCAGGTAGCACGCCGTTAGAACAGCTTCACCCCAGAATGGCTTAGGCAGCTTAGCCATTCTTAACATACACCTCACTTTCTCCATAATGGTTCTGTTGATTCTTTCAGCCACACCATTATGTTGTGGGGTTCCAGGTACAGTCTTCTCATGCCTGATGCCATGCTCGGCACAATAATTCTTGAATTCGTGGGAAGTATACTCCTCCCCATTGTCTGAGCGAAGACACTTCAAAGGTTTACCAGCCTGTCTTTCCACCATAGCATGAAACCTTTTGAAGTATTGAAAAACTTCACCCTTCGTTCTCAAGAAATACACCCACAATTTTCGTGAAACATCATCAATAAATGTCACGAAATATCTGCTACCACCGAGACTCTCCACTTCCATGGGTCCACATACATCAGAATACACCATCTCCAACACATTTTCTTTCAGCTTCGAGGTTTTGCTGAAAGACACTCTATGATGTTTTCCAAAGAGACAATAATCACAAGGATTGAGTTTTGAATCTTTGGCAAATGGGATGAGAGACTTTCTTGCCATAATCTGTAATCCTTTTTCACCAATATGAGCCAGTCTTTTGTGCCACAAATTTGGCGAAGCATCATCCTCGACTGCATTTAATCCACCCTTGATCAGCTTCACTTGAGTTCTGTACAGTGTCGATCTCACTGTACCTCTAGCAGCTAACAATGATCCTTTGGTAAGCCTCCATGTGCCGCTACCAAAATTGTTAGTATAGTCTGCTAGATCCAGTGCGTGCACAGAGATCAGATTCAGACGTAAGTCAGGTACATGTCGCACATCCTTCAGTGTTATTGTGCACCCAATATCAGTTTGAATGCACACATCACCAACTCCCACAATATTTGCAACGCTGTTGTTGCCCATCTTTACTCTACCAAAGTCTCCTTCTTTGTATAGAGAAAAGAATTCCTTGTGAGAGGTTGCATGGTATGATGCTGCTGAGTCAATGACCCATTCAACACATGAATCAGCAACATGACACTCTTGTTCTTCAACAGAGAGCAACACCACTTCCCCATTGATTACAGGGGTTGCGGTATTTTCATCGTTCTCTGCCTTCTTGTTTCTCCAACCTCTGTTCTTCCAGGCTTTGCAGTTTCTTTTGATATGCCCTTCTTCACCGCAGTGATAACACTTGAATTTTCTTCTGGGTTGAGATTGTGATCTATCTCTGGATTTATTATTCTGGCCTCTACTTTTACTTCTCCCCCTGGTTTCTGTGACCAGGGCTTGGGAACTGCTTGCCCCAGAGTCTTTTCTTCTTGTTTCTTCATTAAACATACTGTCTTTGACTTGGGTCAAAGTCAGTTTTCTTTCAGGGGCAGAGTTGCTCAACGAGACCACCAGAGTCTCCCAGTTATCCGGTAAAGAACTCAAAAGTAACAGCGCCTGCAGCTCTTCATCAAGTTTCATTTCCATGGTAACAAGTTGATTTACCATGTCTTGAAACTCATTCAGGTGCTCTGCAACTGATCTTCCATCCCGGTATTTTAAATTTACAAGCTTTCTAATAACGAAAGCTTTATTCTGTGCAGTCTTCCTCTGGTACATTTGTTCAATTTTGTTCCACAGAGTATGGGCTTTCGACTCTGTGGCAACATGGTGGAATATGCTGATATCCACCCACTGTCGGATTAAACTGACAGCCTTCCTGTGTAATTTCTTCCAATCGTCATCCTTCATGTCATCTGGCTTGTTGTCTCCCTTTTCTACAGGATCGTACAGATCTTTGTAGAAAAGTATGTCCTCCATTTTTGGCTTCCAAATGGAGTAATTTGTTGTTGTGAGCTTCACCATGGTACCCACGTTCTCCTCCATTTAATTTACACGGGTCGATACAGAGCCCAACGTGAGCTCTGATACCACTTGTTGGGCTCAGATGCGCAAATGCGGAAGATGTAAATTAAAATATCAAAGTAAAATGGTGAATATTAATCCCAATCCCAGCAACTCAAGAATGACAAAAGAAATCTCTTGCAATAAAACTGGAATAATTCTTTTCTGATGTGAAAGTTCAGATTAAATTGGGACCACAGAGCATACTAAGAATATCCCAAATAAATAAAATATGCAAGAAATAAGACACCAAGATTTAACGTGGAAAACCTCCAAATTAGAGGAAAAAACCACGAGACAACCTCCGAACAATTCCACTATATTTTCAAGATAATTACAATATCTTTTCACACTCCCTTACACTAGAAATGTAAAATATAGTGGCCCAGTGAGAACCCCACTCTTAAACAAAGAGTAATAGAGTTGATACCCAACCCGGTGTATTTTTCCCACACTCACAGGATTTACTCAAACACTCTATTTTTATCTCACTGAAAAATAACACACAGAAATATTATTTCTGCTCTCACTCTTTTTTCTTTCTTCTGCTTGGTGCACCTTGCTTCTGCTGAATACCTCTCTATTTATAGGGATGAAATGTATGTGAACCGAGAGAAAAAAAAAATCATTCAGCTCTTTCCTCTTTCTTTCCTCTCAATAATTGTTACCTGCTACCAATTTTTATTTTTTTTTATTTTTTATTTTTATTGTGGTTTTGTTTGTTTGTGGTTGGACACCACATGACAATTTGGCTAGATATGACAGTAAGCTAGGTACTGTTTCAAACTTTACTTATTGGAAACAATCAAATTTTACTTTTTGGGAACAACTGCTACTACAAACTACATAAGTTTTAACCTTATTTCCAGAATAATGCGACACTCTAATAGACTAATATCCATTCATTACCCACAAACAATCTTTACTTGAAGATTTTCAAGTCAAAATAAAAAAACAAAAGGACACATGTAGAATTGATCACTCTCTTATTGCCCTGTTTCTGTAGAACGCGAACACTTGAATCAGTTAACTTTTTTATTTTTTTTTAATTTTTTTGATGAACTACCACGCATGGCAAAAGAAGGTAATAACTCATGCTTTATAATGTGTGATATTCTACTATAATCTGTCCTATCCTAACAGAACATGTCGGTCAAGAAAATATACACTCTGCTCCCATGGCCAGTGGTTTATGGACGGTGAGTACCCACCACTCGCTGCCAGTCTCGTCCCCAAAACAGCACTAACTGCTCCCTATAGTTTTCATGAAAATAATGGATTTCTACCTCTTGTCATTTTTATTTACATTAAATTTTTCGAGTTTTTCATTTGACCATGTTCAGTGTTAACAAACTAACCAATTAGAGAGCCCTCAGGAAATCTATTAAATTATTAACTACGACCGCATTAGACATTGTTCGAAATAATTAATTGTATTTTTTTGTACTATATTTTCTCAATTTAATTGATTAACTAACTGTAATTGGTAGATTTTGCAGTTGCTGGAGACCTCCATTGTAGCCCACAAGCAAATGTCAAGGGTTTAACGACACAAGCGCTAACGAGCACATATCTGGTTGGGCATCTGTAGCACCCCACTTTGATTTTAAAGAAATTTCGGGCTTCCTAAAAATTAGAACAATATTTTTCGAATTCATTTTCGAAATCACAGGCATTATAAAATATTTACTTAGTCCAAGTCTTATCTGGACCCACGGGGATTCATAAACCCGATTTTCACATATGGTTTTCATTAACCGAAACACGACATTTCACATGACATTTAGCTTATTCATAAACAACATGAATAATCAAAAGAAACATGATATTCAATTTAACAAGTACTCATGAATATCCACATTATCCAAACATCTCAAATACCACAATTCAAAACATAAGTTTGAAAATTTGATCCACATGTCTCAATAATCATAAGTTCATAGAAAGCGAAAGCTAAATGCAATAAATAAAGACCACCCACTCATCTTGCCTCGTCACCTGCCAACTGGTTAATCTGCATCCATGAAGAGTAGGTGAGAGTGAGCACAAATAAAAACGTAGTGCTCACTACTATGCACATAAACAATGGAATGTTAAGATGGTATGGTCGCAGCATTAATATAAATCAATCATCATCATGTCTCATCTCCTAACAATATCACAACAATAACTCACTCATGTGCACATCTATTATTAGTCGCGGAAAAGGGATGCATAAACCCTAACGACGGGAGTGTGTGCCACGCAAGGACATGGCCTTTCATTAGGTCTTAAGGAGACTTGCCTCGCAAGGGCAACCGTACCGGAACTCGATGGGGACAACCGTACCGATGGCCGTAACAGCTCACATCGGTAGGACACATGGTTCACATGCATACATTGATCATACCAACTAAACACTTAAACAAGTATGGCATAGAAAATTTTATGACTAAACCCACCTGGATTACGAAGCAATAGATAGCACACAAAAGCCGGTAGGATGAGAGCAAGGCTCGTCAAACACCTACATTCATCAAGGATAATTCTATCAACAACTATCCCAACACTTAGATCACATAACTTAACATTCACTTAGCCGAAACCGTATCAACTAAGTGATTCGTGGAAATTCTTAATGGAGTTTGGAACTTTGGCCTAACCAACTAGACTCGATAAACCATATATCATCACTTAGCACTCATGAAACATGCAAAAATAGTGATGAGAAAATATGAAGTCTACCAAGTCAGAAAACATATTCAAACAAGACTCAGTTGAGTGCTGTCGGAAAAACTGACTTGAATTTATAACTATCAGATATTTTCAAAAAGTACTCGGCCATTTTCAACAAAACTTTACCACATTAAGGAACACCCAGGAATACACAAATACACCAGATATCAGCCTTAAAACTCACTTTAACCCAGTCAAATAATTTCTACAAAATTTCAGCTATAACATGATTTTTCCAGTTCCTCAGTGAAACCTTCGAATTTGAACATGAAATTTTGACACAACCAACATGATAACAAAATAATACACTCCACAAATTTTCACATCAAAATTTATCAAACTCGATTTTATCTCTATTTTTCAAGATTCTGACCAGAATTCAAAATTAACATTTCACATTGCTGCAGAAGGAGATTTAATCTGAAAATTTAAAACAATATACTTCATCATCAGAGAGTGTCATATATAAAATTTCAGACAATTTGGTCGAGTATTCAATTTGTCATGATTTTTACAAAATTGAGCAGCACGACCATTTTTAAAAATCCATAACTCAATGAATATGCATTGAAACGACCTGAGGCTTTTTCAAACATGTCAAGGACACATTAAAATACTCAAAACTCCTAGGTTTCCGCAAAAAAAAAAAA